CCGGTGAGAGCTTTCATTTGACCCGAATATGTACCACTTTTTCGTTTGGCAACACAAACACCTCAATTGTTAGTTATTTTAAAACTACATCGTCGACGAATGAAAAATTAAACAAGAACAATAGATTCTGATACAATAAAAAATATCCAAGAGAAGCGTTTTGTCGATTCTTGCTTTGATGAGAAAATTCCCAAGATAATGTGGGATTGCATGCCTTCACGTTCTGTACATTTGCTCACTTGACCGTTGTTTCATTATTCATACTTGAGAGAAAAACAGTTTAATGTTTCTGTTTTTACATATTGAGTCTGTGACTCATATGAAAAGGTGATGGTAGGCAGACCTTTTTCTCATTCTGAGAAAAAGGTTCGGAGTTTATAAGTGATTTCTTACTTCTGTTTTTTTCACCTATGTTGACACACTGCATTTCATACACATTCGAAATATTTCGTAATCTTGGGATGTGGATGTGGGCGTGTATATCGTTTTTTTCTTTCACATACTCACATGCACTCTCACATTCACATCCACACTTTCCACAACAATGATCAAATATCAATGATATTTGACTCACTTCCATGCTATTCGTTTCGTAAGTAAAATCAATTCATGATTGATCATAATTCGATTCTTTTATCGTTTGTTATAATAATTAGGATAGTTTACCAATGGATTCTATTCTATTAAAAAGTCATGTGTATCATACCAATAATTAATGAAATTTATAAGTTTTATTTAGTTTTTTCAAAATTGATGTGTTCTGAAATCATCAAGACTATGTTTTTGCTTTTCATTGAACTTCAATCATCCATTATGATCTATTGGAATTCACTGATATCTGAGATGGCAAATATGCATTCGCTAAGATAAGCTCGTCTGATGATCTTGTTCTCTGCGTCAGTAACAAAGTTAAATCAAGTAGGAAAAGGTATAGCAACAAACTTTTAGACAGGAATTTTTGGGACTTTCGCAGTGTGTTTTGTAAATTGAATCATTTTTTTTTGGCATCTTCATGTAAGAAATGAAACGGCTCTACGTCATTTATTTGTGTATAGAAAATTTTGTTCCAGCATTTGTAAAGTAGTGTTACCTACAAATAATATCATTATTGTACAATGCTAACAAAATGTGAAAAAATGTTTTTTTTTCTTTCTTTGTTAGTTCAAATTGACTAATAAGTACATAGATGATATCAGTTTTGTCAGTTTTCATGTTTGAAAATATAGCAAAATTTTCCATCAGCATCCGGAAAAGTGGACCAATCAATGAATATAAATTTAAGATAGAATCAGTTTAATTTACTAAGAAATACGAATCACAACAGAATAAATAAATTAACAATTTTGTGAATATTACATCGATTGTATTTCATTCAAAGGCTACAAACAATAAAATCTCCAGCCTTTTCACCATACGAATTATATAGATATATATATATATAATACTACTCTTCGCTTCAAAATCAAAGTTTTCTTGATGTCTACTTCATAAAATTAAAATTAATCAATCAAATTTTATTATTTTATTTTGTTTTTGAAGAACTAATTAATTGATCATTATTTTTCAATGAATTTATAATCAAGATTATGTTAGATCTTATTTGAAAAAATGTATAAATTAGTATGTATTTTTCTTATTTTGTTAATAAAATGAGTATATAATATAATAGGTGCAACGGTGATGTGAACTACAAGATAAAAAAATAAAAATTGAAGACTATGAAGTGTCATTAGTCAATATAGCATCGTTTTAATTAAGATTTCTACCTAACATTTATGAACGCTGTTTTGATTTAGGTAGACGTTCATTGGCATATGGTTCATGAGTTGATATTGATGATCTTTCTGATAGAAGTTGATTGTATATATAGTGACGAATACCAGGATATGATATATGTGGATGTGTAGAAGTAAAATTTAATTCTTTTGAGCGGTTTTCAATAACTTGTGTTAATTTATCAAGAAGACTTTGTGCTCGACATTTAAAATTATTAGATACTTCTTCTTCTGTTATTTTCTTTGATCGTTCTTGTAGTTTTGGTATTATTGTATTAACTTCAAGTTCTATTTTTGCTATTGATGCACCAGTAGAAATATACGGTTGTTGGTGTTCTTTCAGCTTCTTGCTCTTATTATTCGTATCATTATCATCATCATCATGTTTATCACTTCTCTGATGGATCATTTCGATTGTGCTTAATGTTGTGTATTCTTTAACATGAACACCAATATGTGCGTTCATTGAAAATCTTGTACTTGCTTCACTTGATACTGCTAAACTATCTGATGATGTATCATCTTGAATTTCTCGTTTAATTTCAAAGAGCTATAGAGAAAAAAGTGAAATTTTTTTGTTAATTTTATAATATATAAAGAACAGAGTACATAATGACCATTTAGTTGTCGTTAATTTTGACTAGTTTATCACTTACTCGATGCAGAATTTTATGCGAATTCGTTTTAATGCATGATTCAAACAAAGAACGATCAATCATGCATATTTTTCCGAATGGAGATATTTCGGATTAGAAATTATCTTAAAACGACTATTTATTTTATAGTCTATGTCTGGTACAAACTCCAACTCTAACGGTCAAAATATTGCTGAGTAATGATAAAAACATTATCTGGAATGAGTATAAAAATTTTATATTTTTCTTGTCACTTCGTTTATTTCTGTTCACTATTTTCTCAATATCTCGAGGAAGGAAAAAATGGATTTTTCAGTGATTCTGAAAGCTCAAAGAGAGGGCTATAAGAGTAGGTACTTTTTAATTTTTTCATAGGTGGTCTTCGTTGAAAAAAATCGACTAGAATTCTTTTGAAGATATCATTTGTTGCATTTTTGACCGGTATTTAACAGATTTTACCGATTTTCAATCCAAAAATATTTGACTTGAGCCAAAATCAATAGTATATTTCAAATCGACACTAAAAACTGAATTTATTCATACATATTCCAAAGTTTTTCATCAATTTGTTTTCCTCGAAAAACTCGCTTGGATCTCTTTCCGCATCCTATCAAAAAATGGTTTAATTAGAAAACCATTTGAACAGCGGGAAACAAGTCCTAAACTTGGAAAGCTTTATCAAAATAGAAATGAACATATGAATAAACAATAAAATAGGGTGTAGGTGTCAACATGTGAGGGATATTTTCTTCATCCACATCCTCACTTTCTATCGGGTAAGTGATAAAGCAGTCAAAACTAACACTCACTCAAAAATGGCCTTTGTGTGCCTTAATTCTTACGACTCTATCTGATGAAATTGGTTCAGCACCAATGATATGAGGTTTTGGATAAGCAACAACATGCATTTGATGTTTCACATCAACAGAGTAACCATCTACTGGAAAATAAAACTCTGTTGATGATTTAATTGTTCTCTGAGCAATATCATTAATGTATAATTCAATATGATCAATAAGATCAAGTAAACATGTTGGTTCAATATCAACTTTTCCATATATTTTCTTTCCATGTTGTACTAAACCTGATAGTTTCAGTTTGCAACTATTCCATGAAGGTTGGAATTCTTTATTTCCCACAACAAATGTTGGACTAAAAATAACAAGAAGAAGTAGATCTCTACTTGGCATCTATTGAAAGTGAAAGTTCAGTTTTTTCTCTTTGTTTTTTAATAGAAGTTGAGGAAGCGCCGGAAAAAGAAGTTTTCAGAAATCTTTTGCCATTGTTATATAGGAGTGCAGAGGAAACAACTTTCTACAAGAAATCAGTGAGATTTGAATGGCTTACGGCTTCGCGTTCATGACAAGTTTTATGCATAACTCTAATCGGAAACAAAGCCGGAGAATCTCAAGTTCGATCTTGATTGAAATTCTCCGAATTAATGCTAAACTGTGAATTATATACCTTGTCAATGTTTTATTTTATATATTACATTGCACGTCTTTCATATTGATTTGCTTTTTTGTCTTCTAAAATGTTATTGATCCAACATTACTTAGATTTAGTTTTAAACTTTCGCTACATTGAACAAGACTTGGTTATCAATAAACATATAAAGGAAAAAACTGATTTTAGTCTTTCAACACTTCAGAATACGTGGCATATTTAATAGGAAATAATTTCTTCTATTTATAGAGAAACTTAAAACTAATTTTACATAACTTTAACGATACAAGCAAAAATAAGTGTTCTCAAATTCAGACTATTTCGAAATATCAAATACATTGAATGTTCAATGTTCCTAACATTGACAAAAGTAAATCTATATAAAGATAAAATATTAATAAAACAAACCTGCTTGTTGTAATAGAACTTGACAATTTTCGAGCTTCTGTTGAATAAGCGCGTAAAATATGCAAACCTGGTTCACGAAAACGTACATCTTTATTCGGATCGTAGACCTCAATTGAAAAAATATTTTTTTTTTGTTTTCCTTTTATTATTATTTACATGAACATTTCTATCGTGTTGTGTTGGTGTTGCACCATTAAGTGTATAATAAATGGTAGTATTTTGATGATTATGATAATCTAAATGTATTTGTGTATTAACTGGACTAACAGGATAGATGTCTTCGCATATTTCAGGTTCTTGAGCTTTTCTCCCTATTCAAATAAAAAAAAATATGCTTTTTTCTAAGCAGAACTTTTACTTTGACGTTTAATATCATTATTCGAATAAACGACTACCATTGCTGGATCCGGAAAACAATTTGATTTAATAATATATTCTCCTAATTTACTAAATGTATGTAAATGATAAACACCATCAACATATTCAGCAATATTTCGATCAATAGGAATATTCTATAATTAAAATCCATTAGAAATACTTCGAAAGGAAGATATTTATAAAACATTACTTCGTCGTTATGATTACTTTCATTTGATTGTACATAAATTCGATGATTTGGTTGATTATCTTTTAATATCCATGATACTGTATCATTCTATTTTTATTATATTTTTGTATTAATAAAATATTTAATAAAGATAATTGTTTACCTCTGTAATATATAAAATATTCGGAATAAATTGTTTATTAGTTACAATAAAAGAGTTTTCACTAAATGGTGGATCAATAATAATTGTTGATATAAGTCGATCCTTTGAAATTAATAAAAATAAAACAAAATACTTTTTATTTATTTTTTAGAATTTACTAGGTATGAACCAGTAACACGTTCAAAGTCTAAATAATAAAAATATCTTTTCAAAGATTTATCTATTTATTTATTTATTTTTTACCTGGATTACAGAAAAAGAATGCTCCAGGTGGAATACATTTACAGTTAATAGCAAGACATCGTCGACTTTTTCCAACAATAGCTCTATCATGACATGATATTAAATCTTTGAATGTTTCATTTGAACGTAATCGTATGACATCATGGATAATAGTTTGTTCAAATTTCCAAATTATAAAATCATTTGTATTTGTTGTTATTACTATTTTAGAGTCAAATTTACCTTTGCGTATTTCTTTATAATGAAAACGAATTTCAGGTAAAACAATTATTGCTAATGGATATGTTGAACATTGTTTACGTTTTTGTTTGTTATGATTTTTGATATCCATTGTGAAATAATAAATACCTAATTGTGAAAATTCTTTCATGATATAATTAATATTGTTTTGTTGAGAATAAAATAGTATTTGTTCAGGTTCTGATCGATTTCCATATTCATCTGTTTGATATATTATACTAGCTTTTGTTGCTGATGATAAATGAAATAGTACTTGGTCAAAACGATTTATTTTTATTGCATGTGGCCTGAATCTATTCTCTTCGTCATAATTAACATGATGAGTCTATTTGAGAAAGAAAAACCAAAAAAGAAAAGGTTTTCTTTTTAGAAAAACGTCTAGATCATTTTAAATTGTTTTTACCTGAGTGCCATTTTCAACAATAAGACTTATAAGAACATTATTAGGATTGTTGGAATAAACAAAGTTGTAAAGACCATAATGTGAAATATTTAAAATAAATGTTTCACATGTATGAAAATGATGACGAAAGAATGGCTCTATTTTGCTACATTTATGCATAGCTAAGAACATTAAAAAATACATAATAGTGAAGTTATAGCGTCATGTTTTTCATTGATGTATTTAAGAAAAGAGATAATCCTCGTAGTGTACGAACATATTTTATGGAAAATATATGTGCAAGAGAAAGCTTTGCAGCACAACCTTTGATGAAATAAAACAGCGAAGTTCAGATATTTTTTGTTTGTTTAATTCAACAGTAACAGAAGCCTCAATGGTGTCTTCAATTTCATTTTACTCGCTTTTGGCCATTGAAATGGCAGCTTACCCTAAATATGCAAGCCGATTGAGAGCACCAACATCGGATGTTATAGCAACCTATCCAAGACATTGTGACTCATGAACTGATGTTAGTATTTTGAAGTTTTTTCACGCTCAGATCCAGATTTTGCAGAGTTTGTGTCTAAGTTCTTATTGTTATGTTATCTGTCATAATTTTCTTGTTTTACCAATTTACAAGTTTTCGCAGCTAAGAAAGTATCCATCTACATATCGATTCACACCTCTAGTTTTACCAATGTTGATAGAATCAGTTGCTATTCAATAGGTAGAAGTATCAGCTCATGACATCAACACACGTTCTCGAATTATACAACGTTTTTATCCTCTACTTTTCATTTACGACGTTGACTTTATCTATATTCTTCTCTTATTGTTTCGTTCATCCAAATGTTATTTTTGTACTAATATTCAATACACATTCATTTGATACACGTTGAGATTGATCTACATACTATTTCGATTTGAAAATGTCTATAAGAAATCGCTATTTAGAATACATGTATTCAAGATAAGTATGTTTGTCACAGTACTTAAGTAGATGTAGAAAATCTCACCTATAAAGTCTCAATAACAAATTTTTGTACACAAGTTCCATAGGAACTAATTGTTTTCATTTATGAGTAAGAGCCTTAGAATAAACATTATACTTTTAACAGCAGAGAAAACTTTCGTTTTCAATATTCTTTATTTAAATAAGTAACAGAATAAATCAATTAAGCTTTTAGTTTTAAGTATTGTTGATGAAAAATTTTAGAATTATTAGTTCATTTGATCATAAAAACACAGATTAAGTACGCTAACGCTTTCTATGTGTATTATGTACGTAAAATCCATACATGGTATGTTTTAGGAAGAATGTATACTTATGAGTTTGAAGAACCGAATATTTAACGTGCAAATAGGCGTTATATGTACCTTAAAGTTGTTTTTTTTTCTCTATAAAATTTATTTTTATCCTTTATCTTTAGAAAATTCGACGAAAACATGATGAATTATGAAGATAATCAACATTTTAAGTACTAAACTTTTTATTTTGGTTTATGTGCAAAGTCTTATTTCGTTTTCACCCTCCTGAAAATAAAACATGCAAATGTGGCTATGTAAATACACATCATTTTATCATAGTCGTAACGTTTTAGATAATTTAAGATTGAAGCAACATATCTCTAACACACTCAATAAATTGGCGATCTCACACCAATTATGTATATTTATCCAATATTTTCTATATAAATAGATTTACTCAATATGAAAAAAAAATGAAATGCCTAAATTACTGAATCAGAAATGACTTTTATGATCTTCTTGTCAAATCCAATTACCATAATCATCATTATCTTGTCAGTACTGCTTCAGCAATATCTCTCATTCACCGTTTGCCCATCAAAAGCACCATCTGCTGTAAAATATCTCCTATTTAAATGGCCTTTTTTTCATGGTCATTTTTTTCAGTGCTAGTCAGGAACTTCGATTTGTACCGGAAAAAGATCAAAATTTTCATAGCGTTTACATGAGTTTTCTCAACTGGATTGTCTGTTTAGCTAGAACTTCAAATCGCAACAATTTACAAGTATCGATTTATATACATCAAAACGATTAATAATTTCTTTCAAATCAATTTTTAATTCTACCGAAAAAAGTATCCTTTTATCTTTTAATTTCTACTTACAACAATCAAATAATCCAGTACGACCATCAGCTGCTTCTGCTAATACTGATGACTTTGAATCAATAGTAATTAATATCGGTTCTTCCTGTGAATCACTAATTTTCCAATGGAATTGAACGAAGCCTTCTGTTTTCATATTATGAACTATAAATAAAAAGAAATTATAGAATTAAAAAAATTTTTTCACATTTTATTTTATTTACCTTTTTGATCGCTAAAAATCTGTACATGATGAAAAGCTCTCTCTGGTTGAACAATAATTGTACCAATTTGATCATTTGCAGCTCTATAATAATAAATTCCTGTTGCTTTAAATTGATGATACATATAACCATGATGTGATGGTTCATATCGCCAAAAAAGAGTCGACTGCTGTTGATTTTCACTAATAGGAAATGGTTCAATTTGTTTAATAGTTTGTTCACATGTGGTGTACCATTCAAATGCAATCCAATCATTTCGTTCAATCCAAATAGTATTTGGTCGAATATTATTATCAGTTATTTCTATATATTTTATTTTATATTTATCATTAATAACACAGACAGTTATATCATAAATTTGATTTGTATCAGTTATACGAAATAAAAATGACATACCAAATTCATCAAAAGTTTTGTTATATGTTCCTTCTGATGATGGTCTATCCGATGTTGCTTCAACAGTATACAGACTACCAGATACAGGACAATATTTTTTTTCTTCAATATGATAAGCAGTACCATGTTGTGATGACCATTTCAATTCAATTGTATCACCTTTATATAAATAAACTTTTTGATTTTTTTGCTCATCCGTTAAAAAAATTTTCTCTACTCGTCTTTTTATTTTAATGTAATTGTATTCACAATATTCGGGTGGACATTTACGTGTTTTAGATACTGTTTGAGAGTGTGATGATGGAATAACACAAAAATATATATCAGGTTCAGATTGAGTTTGATTAAGATCTAATGAAAGTAACATACGTCTATCATGTTTTGGTGTATGACTTGATATATTACGTAATTCATAACCATTAACTATTCGATTGTAATCCTTACCGTCATAATATACTTGAAATATATCATATTCATCGTTTTCATGTATTTCAAATTCAATAAGATCTTCACATACTATATATGTGGGTATTTTAGTAGGTCGACGATTAATTACGTCTATGATATGAATCTTTCTTTTTTGTTCATCATCTGGAATATTATCATTTGGCATATAGCACCGTAATGAAGCCATAAGAGTGTTCACTAAGCAAAGAAGAAGTATGTAATTTGTATTTTATATTGACTTACTTAAATTCTCAACCACAAAAGCATTCGAATAAAAAAAAAAACAGAAAAAAAGGAGAAATAAAAATAAATCAAACCTGCAGGGCTATGTGTACTGGTTACTGTTTGTCTTCCAGTATCATTTAGAGTTTCTTTAGAATTAGCAGTTGGTCTGGCAACAGCTGCACCACCACCCATATCATCAGAATACAAAAAAGAGTGATGAATATAAAGAAGTTTTCACAATTCTACACTCTAAAAGATGATGAAAAACATTATCATAAAAGACAAGAAGATTCAAACAGATGATTGAATATTCGAAAATAGATAAATAAAAAAGTTATTTACAAGGATACTGTTGAAGAGAAATTTCCGCTTTTTGTGTACTCAAAAAGTGAGTACACTCTAGAATCGGTCAGTGTGCCCGTCCGGCCGTCCGTATACACGATAACTTTTAAAAGGAGAGTCAGATCACGATGAAATTTTCTACACAGTTTAGTCTTAACAATGTTTCGATCGAGTTCGAAGATGAGCATGATCGGCCGAGCCATTCGTGAGTTATTGCAAAAATAGTCATTTTCCCTTTGGCTTCCTATGCGAAAATCGACCCATCCCAGCTTTCGTAAAAGACTTTTCCCATCATAGTCAAATAAAACCCCAACTATTATATACCATTCGATAGAGAATTTCACGAGCTGCAAAATGGTATATAAAACATAAAGGAACGAAAAGGCTAACTCACCTATTACAAAGATAATTAAACGGAAATAGGTTCCGTTTTTGTCCATCATCTAATTGACTCACAATTCGAGCTCTACCTTCCGATCATAGAGTTGATACTTTGAGGTTTTCTGAAGCGGAGAACTCGAATCCGTACTCCATTTGCCTCGAAATACTATTTGTTGAGCAGTGACCAATAGAAATCAAGTTATAGGAAAAACGACTTTCTTAGGGTAAATCAAGGCGAAGAGTTCAAATTTGAGCTCTATTCGCCTCCAAGCCCTATTGATGGATCAATAGTCAACAGAAATAAACAGTTTATAGGAAAGGTTTCCCAGTATAATTTTGATATTCACATATTCTAGGATGACTCATCTGTCTAATTCACTTTTTGAAGTATGCATAACTCTCGGATTTAAATCCGAAGTTTCCGCATTTATTATTTTTAAATTTAATTTATTTAGTATAGTTTCACGAGAGGCTATCACCTGTAATCCCTCTGGATTCTCCCATACAGAAATCACACATTCTGAAGCCACGACGACTGGCGAACTACTTAAACAATAAAACTAAACCATAAACTTACGAAGTAAACTTTCTAATACTTCTTATCAAAGTTCGATATCTACGTGAATAAATGCCTAAACGTTATCTAACAGGACAGCTAGATTTGAAAATACCATAAACTCTTCAATGCCATTGCACACGTTCATATCAACAGCAAATGGCTGCATGGTCTGTATGCCTATTGTAGAGTGCATCTGTCATCTCTTCAGACGCAGACCAGGTGCCATGGTCTGCGTGTCATTTCTTAGTCGCCCCTTTCCTACCACTAACACCAACTGTGACCTATTTTGTGTCAATTGGTGGCCCATCCCACCGTAGCATCCACACGAGCTTCCACGTCATGTATGTGTTGTCGGATCAGTCCCTTCGCAGCAACCACACCAACTGTCATGTAATGCGTGCGGTTTAGTGAGCAATTCCTTCACGGCACGCAAACCTGATGGGATGTCTTGTGTGCGTTATCGCATGATTTTTATTATTAGTTGTTATAGAGTTGACAAAACCATTTGACATTGAGCGGATTAGCTCGTATATCTACTTATACCTGCTATACTTCCTCTATATCCATATACTGAAAATGAAACAGGGTTTCGGAAATTCAAATAGGCCATCATACGACTCCTTATCATTAGAGACAAGGTATCGCTTATCCTATGGATTCGCTAATCCTTTTCTGAAAAATAGTATGGTAATGCTGTTTTTTTATAAAACAATGGTGCTTTACATCTTAGGTAGTGGTGCGCCATCAATTTAGGGAGAACTTAAGAAAAATTTAAAATCGTTGACAGCAAATGGAAAAGTAGTGGTAATTCATTTCCTAGAAATCACTGTAACGTATTATTAAACCTTTTTTTCTTCCTTTCACGATAAACAGACCTTCTACATGTAACTCCTTCCTACATTATAAATTCCAGAGGGCTTCTAAATTGTCCAGCGTTCAGAGCTTTCGGAGGAAGTTTTCATTATGTTCTGCAATTTTTCAAAAGTTCCAGTTGATCTTCAGAGTTTTTTAAAGAATTCTTTGAGCAATTTTCAAGGAAGTTTCAAGATTTTAATGTTGATAAATGAAAGTTTTGTATATTTTACCTTAAGGTCGTACAATTTATAAATTTTTCATTTGAAAAAACTAAGAAAGATTTTCAAAAAATTCATCAAAATATTTTAAAGTGAGAGGAGCTTCTATTACTTGCAGATTGATTTCTCCAAGAGGACTTTTAATTCAGGAGATCTTTTTATATGGAAAGTGGCGGCTTAGAACGAGGCTACAATAATTATATGTTTCTCTTATACAATCTGTGGAAGATATCAGGTAATGATTTCGATAGCTCTCGGTACGAGCCACAAGGTTGACATATAATTGTCGTTTTAAGTTAATTTTTTGAAGTTTTGTTAAATAAATCATTTTACTCAAGCGAAAAATAACTTAGATCACTTTCAGACTCTCACAATTTTTTTAATATTAAATAGTTATCTTACACTCTTTTATATGCATCTCATCTTTAAATATTATTAGTTTTAATTAATTAATAATAATGATAATTACTTAACATTAATTAACATTCATTAAAAAATCTTGTTCTATGAGAGAGTCTGCAAGAGGACTAATTTACTCATCATGTAGGTCGTCGAGAAAAAAGTTTTTTCTCTGATTTAGTTAGCTCAAATGAAAGCTGTAGTTGAACCATAGTTGACTCCAAAATGTTGAGTCATCCGGTTTTATCTATAAACAATGCGAGCTAAAACAAATTTAAAGAGCCTATTATGATCCTAAAAAATTGCTATAAATGGATGTGCTCAGTATTTTGATATTTTCTCATGAACTGTTTGACCATCGGAGGTTGGGAACGTCTTAGTAGATAGGCAACAGTATAAACCACAAATTGGGCTCAAAAACTACCCCAAACGACAAGAATGTCAGTTTCTAACATGACAGTATTTTGGACTTTTCTTCAATCTTTTCGTCTCATTTTTCCATAACGGACTCCGGTTGAAATAGTCCGCTACGATCTTCAGACATAAGGGAAAAGACGAAGTGTTCTAAATAAAATTTGTTCAGGCGTTGGTGACTAATCCTGACAACCAATGGCTAGTGGTTGAATAGCAGAGTTTTGACTGGCGATCCGAATGAGTAAGTTCGGGAGCTTGTAATGAAAACAACACACTGTTTGAAATGAAAACAGCAGCATGTTCGTAACTATGTTGAGATTTGCTTACGTTTGAGAGATTGTAAAGTGACGCATTTCTATTGTACTCATTCTTGTCTAAAAGAACAGAAAGAGAAATCTTGATATGAGCCATGGTCTTCTAGTAAATTCTTTGACGACCTTCCTAGCAACATCATTACACTTCTCTGGTCTTTTTCTGTGAAATATCATTAGAAGTGCATTCCAAACATCCGAACTTGTCCATTATGATCTACAATCGTCACATCAGGTATAGTAAGAATCACTCTATTCCGCACATCTGGCCACACTGTTCCGTTTTTTCTGCTTTTCTACCTCAGTTTTCCATATAAAAGCGTTTGAGAACTGCAATTCTAGATTTTTAGGAACAAAAATTCAGTTCCAAACCCATGTCTGAAGTTCAAAATGACTTGAGATGAAAAGTATATCTCCCAAATTCTTTTCCACTTTGGTAAGATAATTTATTTAATGAAGCTTAAATAAACTAAATTAAAACGACATTTATAACTGTCAGCTGTGTATCTCACTCGGAGAGCCATCAAAACCACTATTCGATATCTTCCACACATCATGTAAGAGCAAAATATTCATCAAATGAACAATACCTTAGACTTTTTTCTTTCCGTTCTATGTATAAAAAGACTTCAATTGAGATTTTCTACTATAAATGGCATTGCGATACTGTAAAACTCTCTAATTTTTTGTCAGTAGTTGCCTAGTCGGATGCACAGGGAAATAGCAACTTTCTTGCGCATAAAGCGTGCACATTTTAATGCAAAGAAAAAACTTTTTTACGTGAGAAAGGGAAATTAATTGGAGTAAATACCTTCCAGCTTTTCTAGTTTAAAAGAAATTATTTTTAATGCGTTACAAGGTAAGCCCCTACACCTCAAACCATCTCTCTTTTCTGTTTCCTGCCAGTTTGAGTAAAAGAAAAGAGAAATTAGAAAATTCTATTCGTTTATTCATTCTTTCTTCTTTCATACAAAATAATTGTAAGTTCGGGTTTACAACTAGTGCAAGCGATTGTTCGAAAGCAACAAAATTTCCAATGGGATAGTGTTTTTGCGTCTCACTTTTTCATCACGAACTCCGAACATAAGAAAAAGACAGGATGTTTTCAGAATGAAATTTGTTCAGGAGTTCATGACCAATTTTGACAACTTATTGCTAGTGGTTGAACAGCAAAGTTTGACTGAAGATCGGAATGAGAAAGCTCGAGAGTTTGTAATCACATTAGACAGATTGATTGTAATGAAAACAGAAAGCTGTTCGTAACTATGTTGAGATTTGCTTACTTTTGAGAGATTGTGATGGGATACACTTGTATTACACTCATTCTTGTCTAAAAAGCACAGAAAGAGAAGTTCTGATATCTGTTGCGATCTTGGGTGTGGGTGTGTGTATTGCTCTCCTCTTTTCTGACACCCACACCCTGTGCCTATATATTGGTTTTATACTGGAGTCCAGATTCCGTGAGTTCCAGGAGATTGGAATTCATGTAATTTGGACACTAGCGCAGATGTACTTGAAAAACGTGTGCAGCAAATATACGAGCAGCACTAACATTGAAGTCGAAGAAAGTAACCATGATAAGGTGAAGCGTGTGAGAGAGACACATTTAGGACATTTTTTTATAAGCCATTAAAAATTTCAATCCATTTATAGGTCTGAAAAAAAACCAGTGCTCAGTACGGTCATTTAAAACATCACAAGAACTACATATGA